TCGTAATTATTAGAGAATTTGTAGATACACTTTTATTGAATCTACAGTATCAACCTATATGTATGTATATTTCAACACTTGTGCTCTAAAGTATCGCACACGTTCACATAAACGTTTTATTTAAAATTTTCCACGGAAGTTCCATGTATATGGTTCTAAAATTTGTGTTCTAAAATTTTCAACGAATAGTTTAACGCTTTGTTTTGTGGAATTTTCATGTTCGCGGTTTTAGAGGAACACAACGAAACTACATTAATAATAGTCACTAAATACGAGCTGTATGAAATAACGAGCGAGGTTCTTCGGACAAACAAAACAGCGTACCTACTAAATATGTGACCTAGATCTCAGACTTTATAATTTATGGTGATTTCTAATTTTTTTTTAATAGGTTCACAAGCAATGTTTTTATAAAAGGAATATAGATGTGCCACAGTTAGTTGCGTGTCACTTGATACATCGAAGTAAGATATTTTTTATGGTGCGTGGAAAAATACAAGGAACTGAAAAAGGCGGTTGTGAAAGCCACTCGTGTGCAGAAGACATCGTGTTAATGGGGTGTCCATTATACACGGGAAACTGTAGTAAACTCTAATAATGAATTTCATTTAAAAATGAGTTTAAAGATGTTATGGGTGAAGACTGAAGAGCATTAACAATTATTTTATAAGAAATACAAAACTAAAATAGGTACTTTTACTGACTATAAGTGCCATCTTTTCTATTAAGTTTACATTGTGATAAAGATCATACTTAGTTTTATAATATTAATAGTTCGTTATTTAATCATGCTGGAAATTTGTATCCTAAAATATCTGAAGTGATATCTGAGTAATTATACCTACCTACGTTAAAAATAAAATAAAAACAAAAATATTAATAATCTCTATTCATAATAAATATCTAATATGGTTGGTCTGATTTTCACTTCAGATATTTTTGTTAAGTTGCAATTTATAAAAAAAATCTTTTTAACAAAATTTCCAACCTTTACTTATGGAACAGTATATTCTTTTACCAACTTTGACAAACTATGTTTCATGTAAATAAACTTTCATTTTATTTAGTTGTGGATACCAATGAACAAAATCTTTTGGAAAATTTTGATATGTTGCGATAATCTGACGTATTCGTATTCACGTTAACTTATTTTATTTTATTTTTTATAGCGAGATACGCAAATGACTCTACCCCACCTGATGTTAAGTGGTGATAAAGTCCAAACGCGAAGGTAGCTGGTACAGCAGTTATAAACTGCTACACCAACCATCTTCACCCTGCTGACCGGCAAAAATTGTTCTTCACGCCTCTCTTAAAGGACCCCAGATTATAGGAAGGAGGAGCGCGGGTAAAGAATTTCACTTACGAATAGTACGACAAAGAAATGAGTCATCAAATTTCTTTGTTCGTGTTGGAATAGTGGCCACAGTAAGTCGGTGGCAACATAGGCCAGCGCGCGTGGTCCTTTGAAGAAAAGGTGATGGAGGGTTAAGGGAGAATAACTCCTCAGAACGCTCGCCGTGGTATAGTCGGTAGAATGCGCTTAATGATGCCACATCGTGGCGTAATTGTAGAGACTCGAGAGTTTCTTAGTTACCTCTTCATCGCCAATGATGCGGGCAGCGCGCCGCTGCAACCTATCCAAGGCATCGAGTAAGTACTTAGTGGAGCCATCCCAGAGGTGCGAGCAATATTACACGAAGGACCGCACTTGCGTTTTGTACAACAAGCACAGTTGATCGGGCGTGAAAAAACACCGCACCTTGTTCAGGACTCCGAGTTTGCGTGAAGCTGTTTTGATCAAGGTTTCGATGTAGTCCTTTGGATTCAGGTCTGAGCGAACTTCCATACTGAGCATACTGAGCACTGAAATGTTGTCGAAAGCCTGATTAAGTTCAACGACAAGATTCTCCCGTTTCTCCCCGGTTTCTACCTGTCCAGCCACTGCGTGTCCAATGAATCTCGCATGCACTGTACTATCATCTGCATAGCAATGAATATTCGCAAGTGAAATCAAATCATTGATATGCAGCAGAAAGAGTGTGGGGGATAGAACGGAGCCCTGAGGAACACTGGCGTTCACTGACATGAACTGCGAACTACATCCGTCCGTATGGACGCTAATTTTACGCTTATGCAGGAAGTCAGCTACCCAGGCGCAGAGCTGAGCAGGCAGACCGTATGTATGAAGCTGGGAGAGAACGATTTTGTCCCAGACCCTGTCAAAAGCCTGCCTTGGCGATGTCAAGCCTAATAGCCAGAGACTCTCCCCGCTTGTCTATAGCTTCACCCCAGATGTGTGTTACGTACGCTAGAAAGTCACCCGTTCGTCGATTCAGCCTAATTCCGTATTGACGATCGTGAATCAGAGAGTAATCTTCTAGGTAGCGGGTCAGATGGTTGTTAAGTACACTTTCTAAGACTTTACACAACACTGAGGTGACAGCTATCGGCCGATAGTTGGCCGGGTCTGTGCGGTCCCCTTTTTTGGGCACCAGTTGCACATTGGCATCTCTCCAAGCCTCCGGCACACGCCACAAAGAGTAAGAGAGTTGGTACAGGCGCGTAAGCACGGGAGACAACTCCGCTGCACAATATTTTAGAACAACTGCTGGGATGCCATCGGTTCCACTAGCTTTCATGACGTCGAGTGATTGCAACTCCGCACGAACATCATGCTGTCTGATTGTAATGTATGGCATCGTAGTGCCACAATGAGGTAGTGTACGTGGCAGTGCATTGCAATCACTGATTCAGGAGTTAGCCGCAAAGAGCTTTGCCAACAAATCGGATTTCTCTTGCGGCTCATGAGCTAGTGACTCATCTGGACATCGCAGAGGTGGCAGCGAGAGCTGGCAGAGGTTGTGCTGCACGGCTTTAGCCAAACGCCAAAAGCTACGGGAGCCCGTAGGGTGCGTTAACAATAACATTCGTGGCCAGTACGTGCTACACGTTGGCCATCCGCTCTGATGTAAGCCTTTTTGCAAGACTTGGAAGCACTAATATAGGCAGCTTTCAGTGAGTCAACCTCGGCATCATTTACATGTATTATCCCAATATTTCAATAAAGCTTTATTTTAATATTATGATCAACATTATTACATTATATATGTCGCAGATGCGAAATAAATAAACTCATATTGTGTGCGAATGTGAAATAAATACTAAGCGAGCTGTTTTATGCACAGATGTACCTAATTTGCGCTCTGCAAAAAATCTCTCTTGTAAATGTAACATAGAGCAACGGAAGGGAGTAGCCATAGAGATATAATACTATTCAAGTCATTCTGTCATTTTTGCAGGGATATGCACATACACACTGTGTTAGTAGTTACAGTTTTGTTATATTATATACACATGTATAGAAAACAAAACTGTAACTACGGCTCTCACACATACAATGACACAATACGTTACCAAACCCTGCACACATGTATCGTTTGTATGCCCAACTCGACAGAGGGGAAAGATGTGAATGCATTCGCCCCTCCGGGCCGTGTCGGCCGTGTTGCTCTGTGGTGTCACTATATCGGACAACGAATATTTAAATTGATAATTTTGTTTAAAATACTATATATTAGTGAGTTTTATTGTCAGATGGAAAATATTAAAATATTTTTTTTTACTGTTTTTGGTGACCTTTTTAAATACCAATATTTATTTTAAGAATATTTTTTGAGTCTTTTTTAATTTTTAAGGCTTTGCGTATTATAAAGTAAAATTTTACTACCTTAAGGTCAAAATAAACATAAACCAAGATAAGAACATACCATTTTGTTATTAAATTGTGGTAACCTTACTAACCGCATACGGGTCTCTCACGCGGATGCGACTACATTTGTGTGAATTCAACCTTTACTGCAATAGATGCATTTTAAATACATAATTAAATATTTATGAATGTAAAATAATATGCCTTCGATAAAGATCCATTTGATTATGTTGTGTATATCAAAGCTTTAATAAATTCTAGATTTATATACAACGTTTACATTAAAGCTTAGCGATAGATTTTTAGCCCACCTACTGTATGAATATTGACTTAAATATAAATAAATAAATATTTCCAACACTCACACCAGTTAGCCTAGCCCCAAAGTAAGCACTGTAAGGCTTGTGTTATGGAATGCTAGGGTAACGGATAGAATACATATACTGTACATATAGTATAAATATATTTATATAGAAAATACATATTAAACATCCATGACTGGAGTACAAATGCTCGTATTCATCACACAAACATCTGCACCCACCGGGATTCGAACCCTGTCGAGTCGGCGACACCATGAAACGAACCGGCGTACGAACCACTCGATCAAGGAGGTCGTCAAAGTATATGAAACCAGAGTAATTTTAAACATACTTAATGTTTTGTCGGAGTTTGATTTCAACCCTGAAAAGTTCAGGTATAGTTCTAAGGTTGAGTTTGTTTTAGCTATCGCCTGTCGGATACCGTTATTAAGTAGTAATTGTAGGTACCTAGTACAATACCCAAGTAACCTTGGCCAGGGCGTTGAACTTAGAAAAGTCGGGGCACGGCATAATTGAAGCCCTGCCGTCGGCTAAGTTTCATTGACTCTTGCTTGCCTAATTCAACTTTGAATACTATTACAATTAGATTTTTTTTAAACTTGGTATTAGTTACTCAGGTTACGCAGTAAAATATTACTTCTACAATTTATTTAAAAAAAAAATATATTAATTTATTTCGCATCATTTTATATCACAGTTTTATTGTAAGTACTTCATAAGTATAGGATTAGATACTGTTAGTAGCCCATTTTTTCTTTTCCTTCTAGGTTTTATCTACCTTTATGATTATATATATGATTTTCGATTATCTAGACAATGATACCCCACTCGACATATTTCGTTAACTTATTTATTTTCTTTCTCACAATATGGAGCCTAATTGTCGCCATATTCTATCTTATCTTTAGTAGCACTCCAATGATTAAGACGTTACGATTGACGTAGGAATCATCAAAATCGATGCAGGCGTTTGGTCTCTAGTGTGCCACGAAGAAACATACATACGGACATTTAAAGACTGTTAAACACTATACCCTGTCTGCGCGTCGCGATTCGCGCTCTTGTATTGTGCAGTCGGGTAAAAACTGAGAGAGATTAGAGAACACACTCTTTACAGTACACTGAGTCGAGTTCGTTGAAACGAGTTTATTCTTCGTAATATTTTCTTTTTACATTTCTTTCACTTAATCTTAAGAGTGAAAGAAACTTTATGAACTGAAACGCGGAGAAAAAGCAGCCTCTACTGAGTTTCTTGTCGATTTTTCTCAGAACAAGGCTTTTCCCGACAGTTTGTGAACCGATGGCGTATACTTTACAAATGAATTTAATACAGTACAGAGTAAACGAATTTGCATCCATACTGTATAAATGAATTTGAACTGTCATATTTTTCACTTTGTCATTGCCAAAAAGTACTCGCATGTCATTGGCATACATGTTACTATATTCGACTGTACGTATAACGAGTGGCATTCTCTATAAAACCGTCATGTATATTTTTGTACTATTCCATTGCAGCAATAAAATAAATCAATATAATATCAACAGCATTTGTAGTTGAAGCCCTTCGCTTCAACTACAAATGCTGTTCTCTTATTACACACATTCACGCCTCACATGTGCATTTTTAATTAACAATTTGATGTAATTATTTACTAACGATGAATCTATTTTCTATTAATTGTTGACGATAACAATTGTTATTAATATTGCTGTACCTTATGATGGTTAAGTACTTAATTCACATCATTAGTCACACAATCCCAATTTGCTATTCCGTAAGGGATATTCAGTCGTGTATGCGTATGCATTGTGTGATTAACGAAGCAAACACAAACACTATATGAAGATGCTCTCGCTGCAGCTAAACTAACTGGGAGTCGGGAGACAAACGCCATTCATAAGTAATTGGACAACGTTTCCAGCAACTAACGACTAATGAAATCTGTCCGCAGACATGCTACGAAATGGAGAGGTATCTTCGGGAGGAGCCCCGCGGGAAGCGGCGGGAGCCGTCCATCGAGGGTGAAGACTGGGCGGTGTCGTCCACCTCCTCTCTCCCCTCGCCTCCGTCGCCACCCTCCCCGCTGTCACCTTCACCGAGGCTGTTGACGATAACAGCAGTCAAGAGCGAACCCCCCAGTGACTCTGATGAGCCAAGAGGTGAGAACCGACTGATGGTGTAAGCTTACTTCTCATTTTCGCCAGCTATCCCGTCTGCTTACCAACAAGTTCGAGTAGATAACCTTTTTACCTTACTTCGCTAATGTGTCTGACATCAGTAGGTACCCAAATATCCAAAATTCCCCATTCAGTAAGTCGTAAGTAGTTTGATTTGAAGGTTAAAATATCAGACATGTAGTCAATTATCATGTCACGCATTAATGGTACCAATTCAAAGACATTATTTAGAATCGCGAACTTGACCGCAACTTTAAGTGAGTAATACAAATTCTCAAATGAAGTGCTACATTCGAGGAAAGCGATCGATTTAATAAATTGAATGACTATTGTTGAAACGTTACGAACAGACGCACCCTGTGTGAAGCAGATGAGTCATGACCGACCACCGCTGATCACAGTGACACAGTTCAAGGCCGTCGCCAATCCGTTGGGAATCCAACAACGCACTGTTGGAAAACTCAGCGATTCTGACGAAGCCAAAGGTAAAGACGTCGGTGTTGTAGTCGATGTTGTGAGAAGAGCCTGAAATAACAGTGTTATGTTTAGGGAATTGGTTCTTAATGAATATAACTATCTGAAATGATGTATTATTTTATTATCGACGTCTGGTTTCTGTTGCGCTTGTCCGTGTCTTGATATATTCGTAATTGATTGATTGTTGGCTCTTTCTATTTTATTTCATGATCGCCTGAATTTATTGTGTAAACATTTGCAAGTAATTCGTGAAGGGAAGGATCCTCTTGGTTTTACATAATAGGGAATATTATTGTTGTATATTTATTTTTCATATGCTAGCATGTTCTTACATTTGCATGTGCTATGATTTGTGACTAGCTATTATAGATTATGAAGGATATTGACCATTGTGTAATTACAGATAATTTAATAGCGCTTCCACATAAACTCTCTATATTGAATGAATTTTTGACACCACTGCCTAAAAAAAGTGTCATGTTTCAAGGTTCAAGATTTTTTAAATTTGTATGTGCGTGTCTTTACTCTACCGTAATGTCATGCTTGATTGGAATTGGATACTGTACAAATATTATGATTAGAATCCTTACTTGATGACGACATAATATACTAGAATCCTTACTTAGTGACATTGGATTTATTTGGAAAAAATCTAGTTGTTGGTTGTTGTTTCTCTTTCAATGATTTATTATCGATGGGCATATTCTAAACTACAATATGACTGATAAATGTAACGTAAGTATTCCAAAATCTCTTTTCAATTTAACATACGTGGTGTGATTACACACATACGCGGGTTATAATATAAAACCTATATTCTTGGCATTGAAAAACATACTAATGGTTTTCATGGAACTGCGATTTGATTATTAAGTTCATTTTAAACAGAGCAGTCGCGTTTGATTTTTCCCCTACTTTTCAAAGTATGTCGATACAATTTAGGTGATACGTGTGACATGTGATTCCAGATGAACCCCCGAGCCCGGCGTTGGTCCGCCGCACCCACGCACCACGGCACCATTCACACCCTCACGCACACGCTACCGACCCCCGGCGTAGGGTCCATAGGTGCGAGTTCCCTGCCTGCGACAAGGTCTACACGAAGAGCTCGCACCTCAAAGCGCATAAAAGAACTCACACAGGTCGGTATTTGTATGGAATTCTTTTGGGTTCTGTATTGTGATCTAATTTACCCCACACACACACGCTACAGACCCCCTGGCGCAGGTTCCTAAGGTGCGAGGTCGCTGTCTGCAACAAGGTCTACATGAAGAACTCGCACCGCAAAGCGCATAAAAGAACGCACAAGGGTTGGTATTTATATAGAATTCTTTCGTAGATATTGTAATCTAATTTACCTTACGCACACGCTACGGAACCCTGGTGCGGGGTCCATAGGTACGAGTTTCCTGCTTGCTACATGGTCTACACAAAGAGGTCGCACCTCAAAGCGCATAAAAGAACTCACACAGGTCGGTATTTGTATGGAATTCTTTAGAGTTCTATATTGTGAACTAATTCACCCCACGCACACGCTACGGATCTCCTGGCGCAGGTTCCTAAGGTGCGAGTTCGCTGTCTGCAACAAGGTCTACATGAAGAACTCGCACCTCAAAGCGTATAATAGAACGCACACGGGTTGGTATTTATATAGAATTCTTTCGTAGATATTGTAATCTAATTTACCCCACGCCCACGCTACGGACCCCCGGCGCAGGGTCCATAGGTGCGAGTTCCCCGCCTACGACAAGGTCTACACGATGAGCTCGCACCTCAAAGTGCATAAAAGAACTCACACGGTTTGGTACTTGTATGAAATTCTTTTGGGGTTTTGTATTGTAATCTAATTTACCCCACGCTCATGCTATGGACCCCGGCGCAGGGTCCATAGATGCGAGTTCCCTACCTGCAATAAGGTCTACATGAAGTGCTCTCCCCTCGAAATCGCATAAAACAACTCGCACGACTCTATATGTGTAGGGAATTCTTTCGACATCATTCTGTAATTTAATTTAATATCGATATTGGTTGGCTTATTGCCATTAAAAATTAATATTCAATTGATTGATTTGTTACTGTAACTACGTAGCGTTAATAAAATTGTGAGTGACGATACTTTCTTTACAATGTGGTTGAATTTCTTCCGCCTGTTCTTCACTCCATACAGCGAAAAGAATTCCCGAACTGTTAGGAAACCGGTAGGAAAAAGAAGTTAGACTGTTCAAAAGTGCCGTTTTGTACTGCTATTTTAATTAAAATATTTTTTTACTGTTATTTACTTTGGCGCCCTTTAGTGCGCTGCTATTAATCATTATAGTAACATTAAAATAATTTTATTCTTAGAAGTAACTTTATTTCCTGTACATGTTGGCTCAAAATGTTTGTCTTGTCTTAATTATTTTCTCAAAAATCTGTTTCACATTCCAGGTGAGAAGCCATATAAGTGTTCATGGGAAGGATGCGAGTGGCGGTTCGCACGCTCCGACGAGCTGACGCGACACTATCGTAAACACACGGGCGCGAAACCTTTCCGCTGCCGTCACTGCGAGCGGTGCTTCTCCCGCTCCGATCACCTCGCATTACATGCCAAGCGGCACGCGTAGCCATTAAACCCGCCGCCCGCTCCTAAACGGAACCGCAAGCGCACCAAACGCGACAAGAATTAGCGTTCCGTAAACACAAACGCGCGTCCATCGTACAAGTGTAACGCCTTTCTTTTGAAGGTCGTCATTCGTGCGATATCGAACTTATCTCTCAGTGTCGTTGAGTTGGACGCGCGCCTCGGATTGGGCGGTTAGCGCGCCAAGCGTTGCAAGCCAAAGAATGCCGCTACACGTCGTAGCCGAGTCAACACTCATGCACCTAATGCTTTAAAGTTATTATTTTAATATTTTTTAATTTTTATCAAAAGCGATGTGTATTGGAACCTTATTTCAAAAAAAATCTCTTTGATGTTTCGGAGCGAGCCTTTTTATCGTTACGGTTCTTTGTTGCAATAAGAGAACGGTTTATATTCGTTGTTTATTATGTAATGTTTTTGTAAGCTTTGTGTACAGAGAGCTTTTTAAAGTCGTTCGGTCGCAAAGCGGCCAAACGCCGAGAGTTGTGCCATCGCCGGCGAGGAACTGCGGTCGCCGACCGCTGCAGGCCCGGCCCATCCTCGTCGGTCTGCATTTCAAATCACGTGACATATTATTTATTTGGTCCGCGAGATGTTCGGCAAATCAACCCACCGAACGCCGAGCACAACCTTTAATTTAGGCGTAGTAGGATGTGCGTCGCGTTACCTGATGTTTTATCGATGTTTCGAATTAGTCACTCTTTGATCGTCTTTGCAATTTAACGCAACGTATGCATCACAGAAACCATCTATATTATATAATAGATGATATTCATAATTTTATAATGTATACTAGACAACTTGGAAATGAATAAGGAATAAATTATTATTATCAATAAAATTTTGATCAAATTATGATCATATTAGGACTATTAACTCGATGTACTTGTGCAATTGTTTCTAACAGTGAGTTAGTTACTGCCCGTAAAATATTAGTGACTCTTTCGAAATATCGAAATATGTTTAATTTTTATGTTAATTATTAAGGTAATTTTTAATGTGTATATTACTTTTGTATATCTTTCTCTTTACTCTTTCATTCCCATGCTTTCGAACCCACTGTGCGGCTTGTAAAACTTATTCGTTCAGCTCTAAATATTGTATTTCTTTGATCCGCCTGCACAGCTGGGTTGATCTTATGTCTGATTGTAGCACATTTGCGCGCTTTAATGGCAATCTTAATATTCAGTTTATGTTAGGGATGTTCGTTTTCTTTTATAAGATTCATGAAACTTCCATTTTTAAATATTTTTGCTATTGAGTGCGCTTAGGTTAAATAATAACCAAACTCGTTTTAAACAAGTTGATTCTGAGACACAGTCGCTTTTTAGTAAATGTTTAATAGTGATATTCGACTCGGAATTGTCGGGTATTGTCTTTATAGTGAAATTAGTATAAGTAAACTGAATTACCACCGCTTTTGTATTGCAAATTGTTGCTTGATGTTAAAAAGATTTAACGTTTCTAAGGAAAACCAGCTGCTTTGTGCTGGTGCCACATATTTATGTATATTGTATGTAAGTGATTAATGATTTAATTCCAAATTTTAATGTCAATATTTATTTTATATTATTGTTGATTGCGGTTTATTAAATTTATTAGGTTTGCTAAAATTACTGCTCGTATAACGAGATGAACGTTCACAAATATTTATTGCCTGTCACGCAATATTTATTTTAATTAACTATTTAATAAGTATTGCAACATAATTTGTTTACCTTATTATAGCAGTCGCCATAAATTCAGCAGACTTTGTACATACAGGGTGTCGTGGTGATTTAAAATAGCGTAACTTAGACACGCTCAATGTAGCATAAAATTATTTTACGAATTTTAGGAAATGATTAAAAATTCAAGTTTTTAACAAAACCACAAAATGTTTGGATGCCTTTTTATAATCTAGGCTACGTAAGTACAACGACTGCCTAAAATCAATGACGAAATCAACTGCCGTATTTAATATTTTAGGGAACATGCGTTTTCGCCGTGTAAACATATAAGGCATTTCTGTTTGGAGTTGTATAAAGCTAGTATGCGATACTAAAAATATATTAGACAAAATATTTTTAAACTAGGTAAATCTTCATCCTTCCCTTTCTTATCAGCGACAGACCTACTAAACAATAATGTTAATTTATCGTTTGCGATGACCCGCATCATGGTAGGTTATTAACTAATAAGTACCTTCATTGTGTCAAGAAATAAAACAAGTAGTAATGCAAAACATATTTAATAATGGTACTTGCAATTGCAATGTGGTGTTCAGTGCATCTTACAGTGATACAAATTTAGAAAGACACTACTGTTTCTTACATCGGCCAAATGAATATAGTTTTATTATGCAACATTTTTATAGATGCCGTAACGAAAAGCTGTAAACTTGTGAACAAACGTATTGTGTCAGTGTATACCACCACAATACATTTATGAGTTCTAGTATGCGTGTAAACTACTTAGCAACCATTTTGATTAGTCGGGTTATTATATTTTGCTACAGGGGCGTCGATTGTAAACATTTGATTCTTTAATATAAAGTAAACACGCTCTTTCGAATTTTGAATAGGCCATGTGTAAAATGGGTTGCTGTTTTCACAGCCCCGATTTTTTAAATTTACGTATTGGCGACCTACATCCTGCCTATATGTCTATACGCCCACATGTTAGTTTACAGCGTTTTGTGACGTAGACTATATTTTTAATTTCTTAACGATATTCTAGTAAATCCACAAGTAGTTACTCTTTCGAAGACAACTTACAATACACCTTATTTGGAATGCCTTACCAATGCTGATTCTCGTATTTCAGATATTACTACACTATTTTACAATCTAAGTATGTTCAGAGTGACTCATTGTTGTTGACGTTTTTACAGCTTTATATGTGGGTATGTCAATTTATTGATTGAGATTTAAAAAAAAAAACATTGTGATAAGATCGTTATAATATTTTTGACAATTTGAGAAACAAATTAACCGTTTCTTAAATTGACTTTCGTCAATATTAAAGTAGCAACTCCATTGAAAGGCAAAGGACATAACAGATGATTTTTTCTACAGATTTTGACTTTCGCGCCATTAGATAGTCAGCTTTGCAAAAACGGATAATTATCACATTACTCTAGAAGAGAAGTAATTCTAAAAAATATCTACTTTTAGCCAATATCGTTACTGTCACTTTGTGAATTATTTCATCGACAAATGGTCCTCTCAACTAGTGACCAGTCCTTGTAAGTTAAATTTTCCCGGGGCCAATCACAGTCTTCCCGAAAGTATAGTAATATTTCTAAATCTCGGGAGCTTTATGTTATTTTTTGTTATGAAAGAAGTGTACCGGTTGTTTCGTGAACGTTGGATTACTAAATATTATGATGAATGTGTATTTAAAGAATTTATGTGAACAGTGTTCATAGAAATGCATTTCAGTTATACTAAATAGCTTGTAATAAAATAGAGAAGTTGAATGTAATTTTACTAATATTTAATAAAATGTCGCCTAACGGTTTTTTGTTGCACCACAAGTTGTAGATGAATTTATCGATGTTATATTTATTAATTGGAATATCTTCGTTGTAAATAAAAAGATACAAAACTTTGATTTTCAACATTTAAAATTTAAAGGTGCGTCGGCATAGACGAATGTGCGCAAGAAAGATGTTCTCAAGTTGCTTCCAAGTCTTTTTAATATAGGGGCAGTTATGAAAATTGCTTAGTTTAATGCAGATTTTAGGAACTGATAAAGCCCAAACAAAACACGTAATTGGAGAATATTCGGTGCATATAAAATTATGTAATCATACAGCACATACGCTATCTATTGGCGTTTGATTTTACAAAAGTCTTTGCATATTTTTTTCGATTAATAAGCATGCGCGCGTGTTAACGCAAACCTAACCTTTAACTATTGTATTGTAACAATATTTTCTTACAATTTAAAAATATAATGGCGTGGTTCCTATCATTGTAGCATCACAAATAAATCTTTCATGTAATTATATTAACCGGTTGTGGATTTGAAATGTTCGATTGAAACGTGTTTGTAATTCATAGTATCAACTTTTAATACGTAAACTTAATCAAATGAAACAGTTTATTAAATTATAGGCATATGTAAATCGAATTAATATTAAAGTATGAAATCGTAGAACATATAGATAAATAATATGGTGAGGAAAAAGAGTCGTTCCCATTAATTTATTTTTGCGCCGTCTTTCGTGAGTTAATTGTGAATTTTTACACGTGTAATTACAAATATACAATGTTCCATATTTTGAAAACTCATCAATGTAATAGTATGTATATTTCAATGTATTAGTGTAACTACATATTTGAATATTGTGAAATGTTTATACTAAGTATGTACTAAAAACTAAATGTGATTCATAATAAGTTTATCCGACATTATAGGCATTCATAGAAATTATAATAATGATATTGTAATGTTTCATAGAGCAAGAATTAAGAGTATGTATGTATGTATTTGTAACGATACACTATGCTTTAAGAGCAATAGGTGTGACTAGGTATCTACATACAAATATTTATTATGGTAATATTATTAATAATATAATATGCACAACGGCTGGAAAATGCAAATTCGTAGTCGAGTAGTTAAAAAAATAATAAACATAATTTTTATGTGAATTATTGAATAAATATATAACTGAATATTTAAGGAAGTAAATGAAATATACTTTGATAAATAAAAATCAAATCGAAATAATTGCGGCTGTGTAAGTAAGAATCAACAGTGCATTAAAACTACGTTTCTATTAAGGATTTACAATCGAAATTCTGAGTTCCTAAGTTCGCTGAACTTTAGTAAAAGTCCTCAAATAATAGGGATGATGACGGGGTAGAGTAAACGAAATTCTATTAAGTCCGTCAGTAAGATTATATAAAATTAACGAACACATATGTTTTCCTTTTTAATGAACCGAAAAATTTCAAAGATGAAGCACGTCATAGCTCGTGACGTCACTTCTAAGAAAAAATTGTACCAAGTCGTGGTGTCATGCGACATTTCAAATCATTATACCTCTGTAATGTTTCGATTATGTGAATAAAGAAAAAAAACTTTCCAATACTTTTTGATAATCTACCTGATTAACAAAGAAAAAAAAGTAAGTCATCATCCGTATTCTGAAGTCAACATCTACAAGACCCTGTAGTTACTATCGCTTAAGCTAGCACTTTCCATGGCTATTATATATTTGCTATGCTTAAATTTGTCAGCAGTAAAACAGTATACATAAGTGTAATGCCGGTAATTAAAGATGGTGTCTCAATCGTAAGTGAAATACATCAATAAATCTCTTAGTCTATTAAAATTCCTAAATAGTGTCCACTCTATACGAATATAGATGCGAGGTCGATTCAGTGTCCACCTTCTGCGTGTTTTTTTAAATCTTTATATCAGTAAACTCTTAAGTGTCGTCGCACACGGGCCACACGGGCCACACGCCACAGCCACAAACGCCGCCACGAGAAGCTAGAAGCTGCTACTAAAGCGCGGCTGTAGCGCGCGACAGCGGCCGACTAAGGTAAGGGAGAGAGGGGTGGGGAATCGCGCGAGCCACGTGTGGCGGCTTTTTGTATCGGTGCATTAAGTGGCCGGTACGGGCCATAAGAAGTGAGCAATGACGATTTGTAGCGTGTGGCGGCCACCGGCGCGGCGTATCATGTGTGGCGAGTCCATATAAAATGTATGAAAACTACAAGAAATATGCCGGTGGCGGCGTTTTGTGGTTGTGGTCCCGTGCGCGGCGACACTAAAGTACTGATGTTTATTGGAAATGAGGTTTCAAGCTTTGTTCTCTTATAGTACAAATTTTATATTAGAAATGCGGACTCTACACCTGTCTGATAAACATATTTTAAAAAATCCTGCAGCAGCACCTGTCGTGTAGAGTTGTAAATCAAGTCGTTTTCTAATTTTTTGAGCATCTTTCTGTTTTTTTTTCTGTAAGAACTTATAGGGAGGTATAATATTGTTTATGATACTGGACTTAAGTTTATGGTCTGAGTACTTTTTCTAAAAGCTAATGCACATAGTTACTCAGAATTAGGATGTGGACCCTTAATGGGAACGCAGGTGTGCATTATTATCATAATGGGTCTTGCCGTGCCTTTAAACATTTGTTTGTGAAGTATCCTTCATATTTTCTTCTGTAATTTCATTCAAATATTTATTTTAAATACTTACTATGCTGAAATTAATCACAACGTCAATTTCTAGATATTTATTAATCACTAAACATTAATATTTTTTTTTTAAATATAATAAAGATTCTTAAATTTGATGTTACAAGATTAAATTAAACTGTGACAGGACTGATATAAAACTCCCTTTAATGAATAAATAAAAACAAATTCGTGCCACAATATAACATGAAAAAATATCTCATTTAATAATAATCATCTGTTAGGTAATTTATTTAATTTAGATGTTGAATATTGTTTTTATTACAAGACACGTTGAGACCTGTTATCATAATTTATCATATTATTACAATGCGAATATTTAAAATCTTCAACCTGTATATAATGAAATTATACGTATATAAACCTACTGAATTATGATGCACGTTTTTATTAATAGATGGCTATTTTTTAATCCCGTTTGTTTTCGTTTCGATCACAATACTTTTCACATCACTTATTAAGTCTTAAGTATTATATTTTATTAGTTTATTTCAAAGTTTATTTTACGGTGCCTTATTTTAACACTGATTACCTAGTAGTGGAGTTTTAAGATGCATGAAAGTATTATTATTTTTTATTGTCAATTTATCTACAAATGCTGTTTAAGCTTTTTTTATTACATTCCAGTGTCACTTAACTCGGTCGGTTTATATTTGAAGACGGAGAAGGTGGATGGCATGGATGCATTTATTTAAACATAAAATTTTCCTTATTTATTCCGAAATTAATGAAACATTTATTTTATGTGTTGTGAAGCGCATATATTTTTTATTTGGTGTTAATCTTAAAATCAATTCTAAAGCCAAATAATGGTATTAAATTAACTATAAACGATTAATATTAGCTTCCATATAGTCAGGCTAAAGGTTGTCTTTTCATACCGATCGCTGAGTTGTGTTAAAAATTGTTTAAGTTTGCTCCACTGGTAACAGAACAGATGAAATTTGTGCAATTTCCACTGAGGTTCTACCTATACAACTTGCGTCTCCAATCCAAGATCAACTATGTCATATATATACATTAAAACTTCCCTTGATTTTTTCTAGGACACGGAACTTTAACAATGCAGTAACCATTTCAGGAAACGTTATTAATGATTTGTCCGTTTACATTGTTAATTGCGAATAAATAAATAAAAATTGTTATTAATTTTGAATGATTTAATATATCTTCAGACACTTAATACTAACAAGACTGGGGCATTATTTTGCCCTCTTAGTGGAAGAATATGAAAATGCAAAATAAAACAAAAGAAAGATGCATCCATGCCTTCAACCTAAACAGAATAATGTGTATTATCTTGTAGATTTAATTAAAGAAGCAACGGCTTTTCAAAATTCTTCCAACGGGTCGTGCGTCTGTATATAAGTAATGAAACATTTACATAGATATAATCATAAATATTTACAAGGATATGATAATTTTAATGATTATTATTTAACATTATTGACTGGGCAGGACCATTGGCGCAAATGGCTGGTGCAATGGTCTTGTCCAAATTGCAGTGGGAACTACTCAATACACGATGGATCTAAAAAAAAATATGTCGAGTTAGGAATTATCATAACTTATTTTTAAACTGCTTACTTATGCACTGATTTCGGATTAACTTTAAATTCCTATAATTATTGTGGTTAAGCTTTATATTTAATGTCGTATTTTAATAGAAAATTGTATGTAGTTTGAGTGGTTCCTGCGATCCTTTTCCTTTGATAAACGGTGACCATGTGAGGAGATTTACCCAATATTTAAGAATTTTATGTTTTCTGATGTGAATTGAATGTATTGTATGTTTGCCCCGTCGCGTGGGGTAGTGAGTTACGTAGCATATTGCATTTTATATTAATAAATTTTTCTTATATGTGGTTATGTGCGTTTTATTGGATCGTCGTAGACTTACCCTTTTGTGCGAGATGTTCTTCATCACAAACGTTCTGCAAGATAATGAAGCTGCACTTAAACATGCTACGGTTGTAAATCAAAGGTAAGCTATCTAGGTAGTACTAGGATTACTACTTAATAATGAACACTCAAAGGATTTTCACTTAGAATGTTTGTGAATTTCAATAGTAGGTATCACGAAAGATAATATTCTATCACTGCCACAAGTCGAAGCGATATAACTTTATGTTAGATATTATATTGACTTCCATTGCATCACAAAATAAACCTTGATTGATTGTCGTTTTGTCGCTTTACTTGTTAAATGTCAAACAGGCGTTAGAAGCTACGCAATATTATTGGTTAAAGTTGCGCTGCGCACCTGCAACACCAATTTCGCGCGGTTTCTCAAAATTAATGCTCGAGAGCTTTATCGTCGACATATGAGGAGCTGAAGAACAAAACGGTATAATTACGCATCTGGTCAACTACTTTTATTCTACAGTCCGGAGGTTTCGGGCCCGTTAAATTTGAATCTCAAATCATTTTCTATCAAGACCACCTAAAACAGTGTTAAAATTACTAAATTTATAAATTAAAAACCATCCCAAATGTTCACTGTAGGTATGTCGTTCTCTTTTATACAGCTCCTGTAATATTTAGTTTTATGTAATTATACCGTTTTGTTCGCCAGCTCCTCATATCATAGCGTAGATACTTCAGTAAGACCAAGATATTTTATTGTGGCACGTGGCCGTAATCGGAACTAACTGAGGAAGCTTTTTTACGCACGCTTGAGATGTGGGGGGGGGGGGGGGGGGTTAAACTGGCGAATGCGTTACGCGTTACGAAGAGTCATATGTGTACTGATTTATAGTTCTCGTTACGTCCGTTATGGCGCTGCTGTTCAAGTTTTCATACAAAATTTTACATTGACCTTTCGGACTCGCAAACTATTCGAATTAGATATTAGTTCGTGCTAAGGGTACAGATCTTGGTCGCATTTTATGGCGATATCAAATACGCCATCTGCACATTCAATGGTGAACTAACAGAATCACTAGCCAACCAATGACTTTGCTTTACACGTTTACATGGGGCAATATCACGGTGCGAAAACATGCCCAGGTACTTTCTACTTTGGTTTATTTTGTCAGCACATTCGAAAAGCGGATCCCCATGCATGCTGCATTTGGTGACAATTGAATCCTGATAATAGTTGAGATGGCGTTTGTGTCTGATAGGTGTTATATAGGTTCGTACTCGATGCGTGCTCGATGCTAGCTGAAGCTTTGCTTCAGAATAGTAGTTTATGATACTGTTGCATAATAAGGGTTCTTATAACATGAGTGTGTTTTAAAAAAACGAGCCGTAGTAGGCGAGTTTTTTTATAGTATCACACGAGTGTTATAAGACCAAGTTATGTACAGTGTCATACACTACTTTATCTACTCTTATACTATAATACGTAAAACAATATTGCAAATAAAATGCTGAATATAACAACAAATTTATTTTTACTTGTAATAATTATTGATGTTCAGAATATTACAATTATGAAACTGAATTTGAACCGAACAGGAAGCGTTATTGGAGGTACTCAGAGAGGGTATGTTAATGTTGACCTCATTTCTGTTATTTTCAATACTGTTAAGCATTGAATTGGATACAGCGATCTTGTTAGTCATTGAATCATCTATATAGCCTTCTGCAACTGTCGTTGACTTCCAGCCACCGTGTCGCTTTAGTGCCGTTATATCTCCACCAGCGTCAACTAGCAAGGTCGCAGATGTTCGGCGAAAGCAGTGTCCTGTGTACAATTCGGGGTCGGTAAGTTGAAGATAGCTGGCAATAACTTTGCCTAAAGCTCCAAATTTGTTAATGCCAACTCTCTGCGTCGTGCATTTTCCGGCAATATAGTTTAGAAAAAAACTGGGATTGCTGCACTCAGTTGGTCGTGGCTCTATGTATATTTTTTGCATTGTTCATAATATTTCCCAGTAACGGGAAAAGAGCGGTCCGTCTTGGTTTTAGTTTTACTTATTTTGATCAATAGTGTAGTTTCAAAGACTTCAACATCTTTGAATTGTATGTTGTATAACTCTTGCCGTCGGCTAGCACCCATTATACCAAAAATTAGTGCAATCTGTAACAACTCATATATATATTACGGTAAATTAACTCAATATTAACAAAAAAAATGTACATGGTTAACTGATAAACAACTAAAATACCTTTGTAAAGAGATATAATGTGTCTGGGGCTTCATTTAAGAACTTATTTATCTGCTCTGCTGTAAAAGTCTTGGATTTTTTCCCTTTACATCCTTGTGAGTTTCGTTTCAAAAATGCAATCAGCTTACTATATTTAGTTATGTCAACTTAGTTGTAAATATTGAGTGTACTTTTAATCATGGAGTATTTAACCCACATACTTGACACTTTATATTTTTGAGATAACTCTTGAAAGTACGCTAACAACACATTTTCAGAAAATAATGTAGCATTTTTATTCATTTTCCATTCCATAAATTCGTGGTAACATTTATTATAGTTGCTCCTAGATTTCGCCGGCAACAGGTTCATGGTCATGTTTGACGCAGCTTCCAGAATGTCTGGTGGTGTACAATCACCACTATCCCCGCTTTCAGACATGTTTTTACACAAAAACTTATGTATTTTACAAACAAAACCAAACTTTGTTTAAATATTGAAAGGTTTTTTAAATGTCAAATGTTGGCGCCAAGGTGCAAACATCGATTGCGTATGCGTGTTGCGTCGTCGCGCGCTCGTTCATTGAAACCTTTTTAAAGTAGAGGTTCAACCTCCTTGGTCCAGCTGGAGGTTGTATAGGTGTATCGTTATGATTAAAAAGTTATATTATGTTACAGGTGTCCATACAAGACCTGTATCGTAATTAAACTTTATTTTTATTATTTTTAGCCCGTACGTAATGTTTGTCATAAGCATTTTGTTTTTAGTTTTAGAATCTTTGTATTATAGTATCAAAGTAGAAAAAAACTTTTATTACATCGCTACAAATTTTTTCGTTTATTATTAGTATCTCGTATTTAATATTTGATTGTTTTTAAAAATCCGGACCTTATAAACAAGCATCGGTGGTTCAGTGGTAAAAAGCTCGCCTGCTATACGGGCGGTCCGGGTTGGAATCCCAGTCAAGGAAGAACTTTTTTGAAGTGAAACTTCTTTTCGGAGTAAATCTAAATATCCTATGGAAAATATGAAACGGAAATGCGTCACATGACTATATATATATACAAGATGTTTGGAAGATGAAAAACACCCTCCGTATTATTTTGTAAGTCTAAGATAAACAGCTTTTTTCTATTTTAAAAATGTACGATAATTTTAAATTTCTTTAAAAAAATTTTTTGCTGAAACAGATGTTTTAATTATTTTTTCTTAGTTTGCTCTCACATTTGTTTTAAAAAATAAAATCAAAAAGAAACCATTTATTATTTCAGTTAGCCATTATTTGGAACTAACTGTGTACTTTAGGTTTTATAACCTAACATTAGTAGGTGCATAAGGCATAGGGGAATGGAGCAGCACGCTCTTTCCGACGTGCATGAAAGTTGGAGGGTAACTCGGCGAAGACTAAACGCTACGAGCTTTACATGCGAAAATATATAATTATACACTAGCTGTCCCAGCGAACTTCGTACCGCCATAAAAAATAGGGGTTGGTGGTAGAAGGGCGAAAAGGACATTGCTCGTTCCCCATACATTAAATGCCCTAGAACGCACAGCAATGAGAAAATGCTAGTTGTGTTCGGAATCATTCATAAACTCTTATTAGGCATTTGTTGAGATACGTACAACTTGAGGAACCGTGGCCTACTACAGAATGTATTAGATTTTGAGGTTATAATTTAATAATTATAAACTCAAAATCAGAATATATAAAGTGTACATCTTTTACGGTTAAGTATAATATACTAAATCGCAAAAGATGTAGACTTTATATATTCTGAATAGATTTAGTGTTTACCTCTATGTCAGCACTTGAATAATATGCATTAAATAAACATAAAATGCAATTAATAATAAAAATAATAAATGCTTATATTCATATTGATTTATGAGTGTTGGCAGTGGGCACCAATGATACCTATACCTACCTGTTGTAATAATAGATTTCTTATCAAATGAAATGTTCAAAGTCTTTTCATTTACCTGTTTCTATATTTTACTATCGGTAATTAGGTATATACCTGGTTATCATTATGATTTTCATAAAAATAAACAGATATTATATGGGATGGGAGTATACTCCGATCTAACTATCTTTACATAATTTCAGAAATAATCTTTTTATAAATGTAATATAAATACTAGTGATAAGTATTATTAACTAAGGTACCGAGTTCTATTCTTATGTTGTTAAATACCTATGGTCGCCTATATTGCGTTTATTAAGGTAAACAATCTTGGCACAACTCTTTTACAAAATCACCCATTTAAAAATAAAATAATAACGAAGCCAATAAACAATTAAAATAAATCATTATAATAGACTGAAACCTATTGAATCCAGTTATCAGTTAATTTTTAAAGCTGTATTTTCATAAAAAAGGAGTGCCAAGATTGTTTACCAAATAGAACAAGTAAGGATGAACAGACAGTAGTATCCAGTACAGAACTTTTATTTTTTTAAAGTGATTGTCCGTTTACTATGATTAATTGCTAATAAGTTAGTTAAAAAATAATAGAAAAATAATAGTGAAGCACATTCTTTTGGGCATGCTAGGGCCGATTTCGTCGATGTCCTTTAGGGTTGTAAGTATTTTTGTAAGATGTATCTTAAAAAAAATAAAAACAAAAAAAATTAAGAATAATATTACCCTTAACACAACTTTTAGGGGGATGAAAAATAGATGTCGTCCGATTCTCAGACCTACTGAATATGTTTATAAAATTTCACGAAAATCGGTTGAGCCGTTTTATGAAACGGCTCAACGGATTAGTTCGACGGTTTTTTTAATGTATGTTCACCGATATCTCCGTCACTTGTGGACCGATTTCCGATTTTTTTTTATTCGTAAGTGTGCACTTCCGAGATGGTCCCATTGGAACCAAGTCAGGATCTGATGGTGGAATCCGGGGAAATCGAGGGAAACCTTCAAATTTCAAAGGCACGCACGATGTTTTATAATGCATGTTCACCGATTTCTCCGTCAATTGTGTTATTGTTTACTTGGACGATGTAATTTTAACTAATATGGATAAAATAAAAAA